AACTGGGGGTGTTCAGCCTGGAGAAGAGGAGGCTGAGGGGGGACCTTATCACTCTCTACAGCCACCTGAAAGGAGGGTGCAGGGAGGTGGGTGTTGGTCTCGTCTCCCAAGTGACAAGATAAGAGGAAATGGCCTCAGATTCTGACAGGGAAGATTCAGATTGGATATTAAGAAAAATTTCTTAATGGAAAGTGTTGTCAGGCGTTGGAAGGGGCTGCCCAGGGAAGTGGTTGAGTCACCATCTCTGGAGGGGTTTAGATGTGGTGCTTAGGGACATGGTTTAGTGGTGGACTTGGCAGTGCTGGGTTAATGGTTGGACTTGATGATCTTAAAGGTCTTTTCTAACCTAAATGATTGTATGTACAACTCCATTGGAGTGATTTGAACTGAAAGTTTCAGGTTTTTTTGTGAAAGTTAAATTATTCTGAAAACTGCTATAGAAGGAAATATAGGGTAATTTGTTATTGTTCTCATCTGTCTGCTTCTGTCTTCCTGCCTTTGATTTGTTATTTCTCATCTATACATTAATCAACTTGTGAAAACATTTATATATACATAATACACATGCAACATACATGTATTAATTCTATATGTATGCATACAGGCATGAAAAAATGTGTGTGTACAAAAATCAAATGACCAAGGTTAGAAAAAAGCCCTATTTGTTCTCCATGATGGTCATTATGGAGGATCTGATCCATCATTAGAACAAGTGAGGGTTTTTTTTCTAACCTCAGTCATTGATCAGACACATATTGAAGTACAATTAAATTACAACCAGTTTAAACTGGCAAAGCTAGGAAGGAGTGGGCTGGATTAGGAGTGATATCATTCAGAGCTGCTGCCAGCAGCTTTATTTGCATATCTGTGTGTCTGGCGAACCAGCATCACTTGACAGAACTGGGTTAGGAAACAACCATATGTGTATTTAGCCTGGGAGATCTGTCACAGATGGAGAACAGCAGCAGCCAGAAACAAAACCTCTTCATCAGCTTAGTTAGGCTCATAGCAACACTCTGGACCACAGCTCTCAGACTGTAGTATGCTGCTTTTTAATTATTTTCATAAGTATGTCAGCTTGGATTGCTTGATTACATCTGCAGTGAATGGGCTCCATGAGCCTAAAAGCTTACTGGTGGCTTTTTGTTGCTGTCCAGCAAATGGAGTTCACATGTGTACATCGAGTGGAAGAATTTGGGACTCTTCATTACCTGTTCTTGCTCGTGGTGAGCCAGTCTCCATCATGGATTTGTCAAAAAAACTTCATCTCTCTAGTAAATGGCACAAACTTGTCACCAGAGTGACTATTGGGGGGGAGG